CCAGATCTTCTTCATGACAGCGGTAAATACCTTTGGTGAGCATACATATTGTTCTATGCCTCATTTGATAGTAAAGACCAAAATATCATCAAAGTTATCCCTGTCTTGTGTTCTTGAAGTAGTCATATAATTTTGATGTATGTATGTAAGATACTTTGTTGGAAGAGAGCCTTTGAAGTAGTCTTTTTGCTCCACTGAAACAAATGCTTTTTATAGTCAGAAAAAAAATAAGCACAGTGGGATCTTTCAGTCAACTACGTGATGATAAAGGTGTGCTGCACTAAGGAATATCACATTTTAGGAATATATTTCTGTTCCTTTATAATATCTGCTTAAAGATATTTTCAATGATGTATAGATAATTTTCCTGTAAATTTTTATAAATGGAACAACAGGCATCTAGCTTGGTAGTTGATGGTGTTTTCTTTTGTCACCTTTTTTTTTTTTTAAAGTAGTGATAGGGCCCCAGACTTTCCATCCCTTTAGTATCTCTCCCTCATTCAGATCTCTTAAGAATTAATCACTTAGCTCCTTCACAATTGTTGCCTCCAGCATGGACTTTCTCTTTGTATACCTAGTCTAATGCAGCTTCTTTTCTCAATCTTGTTCTTTTTGGTACTATTTCTAACTCCTCTAAAAGCAAATCTGGGATTATGATATTACAGTCTAAGTGTAGTAGATTTGTTGATGGTAAAAAGAGGTAGACATACTTTTGCAGATCTTTTCCATGTTTCATTCTGTTATTTGTTCATTTGTTGTCATCCTTCCAGTTTTATCCATGAGTGCCTCTGGGGTGACTTTGCTTAGCTGGGTCTCTTGCCAAGCTCTTCAAGTGGTTTAAACCTCCATTGCTTTGCTCTGTTTTATGAAGCAATATAGCTCATGATCTACTACCATCCTTCTATGTAGATTTTATGAACAAATTTATATTCTAAACTGGTGTTGTTTTTGGCTGCCATAACTACTTGGCAAGTATATCAAAAATTTGTTAAGGTACTTTTTAAGCTTTTTAGTTTTAATTAATGTGGCAGTTGATTTATATCAGTTAAACATCTACATAAAATTGTTATGATTGGTATAAATGTCCTTTCTTTCATAAAATATTTTTAAAAATCACTAACTTCTTTGAGTAAATGAAATGCAATTGTTTTAATTACATGCCATCTTTAAAAATTTTTTTATTCTTTATTCTAGCTTTGCATTAATTTTGATCTTGTTACAGAAATGTTTGTGACCTGACTATACACAAACAGCTCATTAACAAATGAGCTATTTCCTCTCTAAAACAGAATGCATTATATTCCCACACACACACACCCTCTTCTTTTCCCATCTTTCCTATTATTATTGAGGGTACTACCATCTTTCCAGTTACCCAGACTTCCAACATCCGTGTCACCCTCAACTCTTTACTCGTATTCACTCTACATATCCAATCTGTTGTACACACCCCATGTATTTGATATTTTATTGAGTTTTGTCATTTCTTCCTTCACAACATCTCTTGAATAAATTACCTCTTTCCTTCCACTCATGAAACTCCCGCTCTGGTATGGGCTCTCTTCAGCTTTTGCCTGGACTATTACAATAACTTTTACCTGGTTTCCCTGCCTCAAATCTCTCCCCATTGCTAATCTGTCCTACACTCAGCTACCAAAACAACTTTTCTAAAGTGTGTGTCTGCCCATGTCCACCCCCTATTTAATAAACCTCAGTGGGCTCCTCTGACCTCTGGGCTCAAATATAAAGTCCCCTGTTTGGCATTTAAAGCTCTCAACAACCTGAATGCTTTTTGCCTTTTCAGTCTGTTTGCTCTTTATTCCCCCTGCAGACTCTATGATCCAACTACGCAGGCCAACTTGTTCCTCACATATGACATTCCATCTTCCAGTTCTGTGCCTTTTCACTGGATGTCTCCCATTCCTAGAATGCTTCCCCTCCTTACTTCTGCTTCTGCCTTCCTTCAAGACTCATCTCAAGGGCAGCTAGGTGGTGCAGTGGATAGAACTCTGGCCTTAGAGTCAGGAGGACCTCAAAATCTAGTTTAAAAATCTAGCCTCAGGCACTTACTAGCTGTGTGACCCTAGGCAAGTCACTTAACTCCAATTGCCTCACCAAACAGCAAAAAAAAAAAAAGACTAATCTCAAATCTCACCTTCTGCAAGAGACCTTTATCTTTCCTCTGAGATTTTCTTTCATTTACACTTTGTGTATCTTTTATGCACATGTCATCTTCTCTATGAGAAAGTGAAGTCCTCAAACGGAAAGACTGTGATTTTCCCCCTTATTTGTATCCCCAGCACTTAGCACAATGCCTGGCAGAGAATAAGTGGTTAATAAATGCTTGTTGACTGACTTGAGTGACTCATCTCTTCAAATATAATCAATTTCATTTTTTAATGATATTTGCTCACCATGTCTAGCATTTTCCAGTTTTTCTCAGAAAGCATTCATGATGTATAAGCATGAAGCTTTTATGTAGTCTATAAGTGTTTGGCCTCTCCCATTTCTCATTTCTAATTCATATTTTTTCCTCTGTTCTTGTTTATTCTCACCATTACAATAAAGTCGTTGAGTATCAAAGTATATGTTGATTTAATTTGTGGATCACTTTATTTCTGGATAAAATCTTCCTTTTCATCCTGTGCAATAGATATTGGTGCATAAGGTACAATTATTTTCGTGGTAGTCTTTTTGCAGGTACTATCAGATGACCACATATCCCATGAAATGACTTGGATGCACAATAAAACTAACTCACTTATTTGCTTATCTAGGCATGTGAGCCATCCTTCCATTTTTGCTATAATTTTCTTCTCTATTCTGTTTTTTGGTGAAAATTCTAAGATTTATACAATTAAGTTCCTCTAGTAGTATGTGCTGAGAGTACTACTAACCAAGTTGAAATTCATATAGAATCTGAAAATTGTGTAATTCTTAGCACCCTCTCTCCTTTTTCCTACATTTTGCCAGTCTCTGAAAAAACACTCAGAACTGAGTGCTATTTTGTATTTTTCTTTGTTTCATGGTTTGCCACAGCCTCAAGGCCATAGGTTCCCCACCCTAGTTAGAGCATCTTATCAAGTTCTTTGTTCCAGTCCATTCTTGAGGTCTGAGGACATAGAGAAAGTCTTACAGTGGAGTTGGATAGGGTAATAATGGTTGGTGCAATAGGCCTTTATTTTGGTACATTTTAACTCTCAAAGAAGAAGACTTAAGACCTAAAATAAGATTTCCATAAAATGAGAGAGTTGGGCCAAGCTGTCCAGGATCTCTTCTGAGCTCTACATCTATGACCCTGTTATTATAAATCACCCACAAGCTGCCAGGTATCTTCACCCTCAAATTGCCTCAGAACAACTCCCACAAATACATGCACTGACTCACAAAAATTGACACTTCCTCTGCTTCCACATAGTCATATTCTCTAGAAACACTTTTGCTCTAGTTTCATGAAGTACGACATTAACATTTGGTCTATACTCAGGTCCCCACATTCCATACTTGGTGACAGAAGGAGTTGGAAGCTATTGAGAACAAACACCCAAGGGTTGGCTTCTAGTCATGCTTGTCCACTGATTAACAGGCTTTTGATACTCTTTTCAAAGCCAAGAGGAGGTAATTAATGATTGTAGACATCTGCCCTGTCTGCCTCTTCCCTGCACAGCTGCCTGGCTTCTCTTGGGTTCTCAGCCGTAACATCTGGTTTCATTTATAGTGAGAATGTCAATATGAATGAGGTTCAGTTGTTCCAATGACCATTAGGAAATGATTACCTTAAGAGTATCAGACATTAAATTAATGTTTGCAAATGTTTTAAAAATTGTTTCTTAATGCCCCTGTAATGCCCATTTCTATATTCATGAAAGACCATGCAGGACTGAGACCATTTATTGGATATCCATCTGCTCCTTCAGGTTCTTTATAAATTTTTTCTTCACTGCCAGCCAGTCCAATTTGCTGACTTATAGATCTGTTCAGGAGATAGTTATGAGCTGGCCTAGCATTCAATAGACTCTCCGTGTTTAAGGAAAAGGATAAATGAGATGGAAGAGAATAGCACAGACTCCTAGGATTCATCATAAATACTTCAGAGAAAATAGGGAGACATCTTTCAGTTATATGGTCCCTATATCAATCAATAGGCATTTATTAAGTTACTTTACTTTAGTGAAGCCTTTTGCAGTTCAACTGTCCAGTGCTCGACTAGCCAGTGAGGAATGTCATGAGGAGCACCAAGGTATTACTGATTGAGTAACTTTTGTTTCTTCCTTGAATCTCTAGATCGGAGGATTTTTGAGATAGAATTGGAAAGGCGTTTAAAGATTATTGCATCCGACCTCTCATTTTATAGATGAGGAAACTGAGGCCTAGCAAGCTTGAATTACTTGCTCAAGGTTACAAAGGGTAGTAACTGGCAGAACTAGGATTCAGATTGAATTCTTTGGCCCCAGATTTAGAACTTTCCACCACACCACCCTGTTGCCTCCAGGAACAAAGAGAAAATTCTCTGTTTGGTATTCAAAGCCCTTTTTAACCTAGTCTCGTGCTACCTCTGCAGTCTTCTTACGTCTTATTCCCTGGCATTCCCTGACATCTTTCATCCAGCGACAGCAGCTTCCTAGCTGTTCTTTGAACAAGACACTCCATCTCTCAAGCTTCAGCCATTTTCTCTGGCTGTCCCATATGCCTGGAATGATGGTCCCCCTTCCCTCTGCCTACTGATCTCCCTGGATTCCTTTAAGTCCCAACTAAAATCCTACCTTCTACGAGAAGCCTTCCCCAACCACTCTTGATATCAGATTATTCAATTATTTCCTATTTATCTTACATGTAACTTGCTTTGTATATATTTGTTTGCATGTTATCTCCCCTTTTAGATTGTGAGCTCCTTAAAGTCAGGGACTGTCTTTTGCCTCTTTTTGTATCCACAGGGCTTAGCTCAGTGCCTGACACAATAGTAGGCACTTAATAAATGTTTATTGATTGATTAATTTATTGAAAGAACCTTAGATATGCTGGTAACCAACATTTCCCCCTCCAAATTCATCATAAAAATTTTCTCATGCAGACTTTAAATTTGTTTTGAGGTTGACAGATAAAGTCTTCAGAACAGTTGAGCAAAGATCTTCATTTCAGTAAAGACAGAACTTCACAAATTTGGAATGTTAGAGCTGGATGATTTCTTTGGAAGTCATCTTATCCAACTCTCTCCCCTTGTACCTGAGGAAACTGAGTGAAGACAGAGAGGTGAAGTTACTTTCCTAAGTGTCTGTAAGAGCTAGATAGTGACTATAAGAGGATTCCTGTTCTCAGAATTTGTTTTAAATGAGCCAAAGCATCATATAGTAATTTCTCATGTTGTTGTTGTTCAGTTGTTTCAATAATGTTTGACTCTGTGACCCCATTTGGAGTTTTCTTGGCAAACATACAGGAGTGGTTTGCCATTTCCTTCCCAGCTTATTTTACAGTTGAGAAGCTGAGGCCAACAGGGTTAAGTGACTTGCCCAGGGTCACACAGCTCTTAAGTATCTGAGGCTGGATTTGAATTCATAAAGATGAGTCTTTCTGACTCCAGGCCCAGCATTCTATCCATTGTACCACATAGCTGCCCCAATTTGTCATGTGTAATATTTTTATTCCTTTTTTTTCCCCTAGGTGAGGCAATTAGGGTTAAGTGACTTGCCCAGGGTCACATAGCTAGGAAGTGTTATGTATCTGAGGCCGGATTTGAACTCAGGTCCTCCTGACTCCAGGGCTGGTGTTCTATCCACTGCTCCACCTAGCTGCCCCATGTGTAATATTTTTAAAAGATTATTGAATTCCCTGTCATCTTCTCTAAACGACTCATCTGGAGCCACCTTCCAGTAACCATACCTTCTTTTAGTCTGTAATTTCTGAGGAGTGGGTAGGAATCAGCCACTCATAAAGGCAAGAATTCCTTTGGGAATGTCTGTGAAGAGAAAGAAAGGAGTTAGCTGACTTGTGCGATCTCTCATTACCTTTGCCCTTTCTCCAAACTAGCCGGTGCCCAACAATCAATTGGCCCCAGCTATCTGAGAGCGCAACATCTTTAGCAGGTGGGTAATTCACACAGCTTTACAGTGTTTAAGTAAAGTGGGCTTTATATTTAATGCCTTGTTTTAGGACCCCTAATAGCGCTTGCTAAGTTGGCTTTTTTTGAGTTAGTCAGAACTCTGAGTAGACAGGGGACCAGTCTTGCTCTTACACATTTGAAGTGGGTCTCTTGATGCCCCGTGAGTCTCTTTATCTTCTCCAACCCCACCCCAACACCCAAACCTTGCTAAGCTCTTCTGGTAATATCTACAATTCTCTGTGCTGCATTCTAGCTGGCAGAGTTTTAGGGCAGAGCTCGTGTTTGAGAAATCGATTATAGATCAATAGCCTTATTTAGAAGGACAGCTGATGTACTTCTCTGCCCTAGTGTTTACAGTTATGTAACATTGGTTCCATTAGTGTAAGCTGCAAAACCACCATCTGTTGTTCACCTTATCCAAGACCAACAGTTTGTAATGCTTTTCTCTGATATTTTGGCAGTGTGGCAGTGGCTTACAAGTGAAAAGTTAGTAGTGAAAATTTAAAAGGCATCCCCAAGGAAACCACACTAGGGCACTCTTATACACCTGAGATCATGTTAATAATGGAGTAATTCCAGATTTAAAGGGTGCATACTCAGAGCATTGCCAAGACTCTTTGAGGTCTCTTTATTTTTTCTGACAATTTGGTATGAACTTTGGCTTTGTTTCATTTTTTGATATTGATAAGTGAAGAATCTTACTAAGATGCCTTGTTGTGGTGGGGATGGGGTTGGGGGGGGAGGAACTAAGCTATGACAGCAAAGCCCAACCTTCCAACAGCTCTTGCTACTGTGTTGGAAAGGCTTCAAGAACAGATCTGGTGATGGACAATGTGTTTGTCATCCAAGGACCAGCCTGGCCAAGATTGAAGAGGCTCAGTGCCAGAAAGTTGGCTGCCAGGAGCTGAATGTTTTTGGCCACAGTAGTTCATGAGGACCATCTACTAAAGAGTAGAGGGGTTGCTATCTGTTTCAGTGGAAGGAGTATGCTTAGCACAGTGCCTGGCATATAGTGTACACTTGATACATGTTTATAGATTGATTGCCAGTGAAATAATAGATCTCTTGATGTATAAAGTAGCAAGGGACACCGTTTTGAGCTTCATGTTTCATTCAATTGATCAGCAAAGCATTTCTTAAGAGTCTACTATGTAATAGGCACTGTACCAGGTGCTGAGGATACAAACACACTCTGATGAGTATATTAGAGTCTAAGGAAAGACTTTGCAAATGGAGGGAAACTTAGAAGGGTAAGGGGCTACATTCCCCCCCCCTTTTTTTTAAACAACTGCTGCCTAGAAAAGTCCAGGTACTTTATACAGATTCCCTAAGAAATATGATTTGTGTTTGTATGGGCTATAAGTGGCATTTGGCAAACCTTGCCCTTTCCAAAATCACTTATATTTGACCTTCCTGAATGTCAGGCACCACTAAAAAGCCAACAAATGTCATTCTCGTAGACATTAAAACCCAAACTACACTTCCTTCTCAGAAGCATAATCTTTCAAAGCTATTTTTGGTTACAGCATATTTGTAAAGTTTAGAATCCGAAACCTGATAATTTCACTTTAATGGTGGAGCCCTTGGAGAAAGCTCTAAGCAAACCTCAAAGCCTAATGTGACATTTCCCCTTGTGCCTAATTTCCAATTTTTTTTTTATTAAGGAAGATACAGTACTTTTGCTGCCACTGCATTGGGAAGAACTCTTTGAACTTCTTAGAGTTAGTTTGCCAATCAGTAAATTGATATCTACCTGTATATCTTAAAGCCTTGCCTGGTATGGTAAATCTTCAATTAGTGCTTACCGGGAAAGAGAACAAGCATTTATATAGCACCCACTACCTGCGAGGCAGTATGCTAAATGCTTTACAAATATAATCTCATTTGATCTTTTCTAGATCACTGTAGATGGGTGTTGTTATTATCTCCATTTTAGTTGAGGAAACTGAGGTAAACAGAGGTTAAATGATTAGATTTGAACTCAGGTCTTCTGATTCCAGATCCAGCATTCTATCCACTGAGCCACTATTGTCTATTAGGTGCCAAGGAATAAGCTAGGAATACAAAGACAAAAGGCAAACACTTCCTGTCCTCAGGAAATTTAAGTTATATTCTGGGGGTCAACATGTGCATGTATAAGTAGATTCAACATAGTTTGGGGAGGAAAGGTAAATGCAGCTTTGAGAATCAGGAAAATCTTGTAGAAGGTGATATTTGAAGGAAGCTAAGAAGGAATTGTGAGAGGCAGCAGTGAGAGGAGAGTCATTCTAGACATTGAGGAATTGCCAATGCAAAATAATGAAGACAGGAGGTGGAGTGATGTGCACAAGGAACAGTGTTATTGTTTCATTGTTGGTCAGTCATTTTAGCGGTGTGCAATTTTTCATGATTCCATTTGGGGTTTTTTTTGGGCAAAAATACTGGCATGGTTTACCATTTCCTTCTCCTGCTCATTTTACAGATGAGGAAATGGAGGCAAATAGGGTTAAGTAATTTGCCCAGGGTCACGCAGCTAATAAATGTCTGAGGCCAAATTTGAATCCGTGTCTTCCTGACTTTAGGCCTGGCACCCTATCCACTGTGCCACCTAGTTGCCCTATAAGAAATTGTACTAATAGTACAATTGGGTAGGATTGTTGTGTGCATAAAGCCAAGTAAATGTAATAGGCTGTTAAAGCAAGAGGACCATGTTGTGAAAGGTGTTAAATGGCAGGGAGAAGAGCTTACATTTGATTCTAGAGGTAATAGGGAGTCTCATGAGTTTTAAGTAAGGGAATGACATGGTCAAATCTATACTTTAGGAAAATCTCTTTAGCAGCTGAGTACAGAATGGATTGGAGTACAGAGAGACTTGAAGCACTTATACCAGTTAGAAGAATATTTCCATAGTCCAGTTGTCCAGTTTCCATAGTCCCCAATTGATAAATGGTCAAAGGATATGAATGGGTAGTTTCCTAATGAAGAAATCAAAACTATGTATAGTCATATGAAAAAATGCTCTAAACCATTATTGATTAGAGACATGTAAGTTAAAACAACTTTGAGATATCATCTCACACCTATCAGATTGGCTAAAATGATAGAAGAGGAAAATGACAAATGTTGGAGGGGATCTGGAAAAATTGAGACACTAATACATTGTTGATGGAACTGTGAACTTATCCAGCCATTTTGGAGAGCAATCTGGACTTATGCCTAAAGAGTTATAAAACTGTGTATACTCTTTGACCCAGCAACACCACTATTTGGTCTGTTTTCCAAGGTGATCAGGATAAAAAAAGAAAAAGAACCTACATCTTCTAAAATATTTATAGCAAAAATTGTTTTTACATATAATTGGAAGAAAAATAAAATATTATTTAATAAAAATATTTATAGCAGCTCTCTTTGTGGTAGCAAAGAACTGGAAATTGAGGGTATATCCATCACTTGGGGAATGGCTAAACAAGCTGTGGTGTATGATGATGATGGAATATCACTGTGCTGTAAGAAATGATGAGCTGGTTCATTTTAGAAAAACATGGAAAGACTTGCATGAATAATGAAGAGTGAAATGGGCAGAACCAAGAAGACATTGTATACAGTACCAGATATCGTTAGAAGAACAACTGTGAATGACTAAGTTATTTTGAGTATTATGAAATTGCAAAGAACCTAGGAAGGAAGATGCTATGCACCTCCATAGAAAGAACTGAAAAATAGAAGTATACATAGTATAGTTTTGTGTGTGTGTGTGTGTGTGTGTGTGAGAGAGAGAGAGAGAGAGAGAGAGAGAGAGAGAGAGAGAGAGAGAGAGAGAGAGAGAGAGAGAGAGAGAAAGAGTAGCCTTCTCCAGTTCAGGGTGGGGAGAAAGGGAGTTCAGAATTTAAAATGTAACAAATAAATAAAACAAAATCCCCAAATTAATTGAAAAAATGAGGGCCTAAACTACGACTGGTGGCCATCTGAGTGAGAAGAAAGGGACAGATGTGAGAGAACTAGGGGATGTAGAAATGGCAAGATTTGGCAAGTGAATATGGTATGAAGGATGAGATCAAGTTTGCAAGCCTGGATGACTGAAAGAATGCCTTTGACAAAAACAGGTGCATTTGGGAGAGGGGTTGGTTTGCAGGAAAATATAAATGATGTGAATCCTTAGAATTCCCATTGGTGAGTGTCCTCTCTTTTGCTCTAAGAGATTTGCCTTTTAATTCATTACTTCCTCTAATTCTCCTCTTCTAGTCCTCCCATGCAAATGGAAAAAGTAAAGATTCTTCATAACATAGTTGGGAAACTATGTTCTAATCATACATTCAATTTTTCATTTTTTTCTTTTTTAATTGAGTTACTTTCAAACTTATTTTTACTTTTAGAAATATTTTTATTTCTAAACCCCATAGCATAGAAGTCCATATGCCCAGTGATGTTGAAAATATATGCTATTGTGAGCTTATAGATGCTTTTTTTTTTCAGTAGAAACTCCTAATGCCTAGAACATAGGAGTTTTGAGGGACTTGGTGTCATTATTTTTTCCTTCTTTTAAAGTCTGACATGATCAAGGGCAAAGCTTCAATTTAAAATAACATCAAAATAAACTGCCCGAAAGTACATAATGTGCTTTTTTTTTTAATTTGGCACTGTTTTATTTTCATGTGTATATCTGTGTTGTGTCCCTTCTAAGTAGAACAGTATTTTGGAATGTGCTAAAGAGTTTTTAAAGGAAAAAGAAAAAAAGTTTTCTTTTAAGTTTTGAGAGATGAAGCTCATCATTTCTTCACAAGTGCTGTAGAACAGTTAAAGATATCTGTACAAATGTTACATTTCTTCTATAGTTCTTTGGCTATATGTAGCCTGCTAACTATCCTATACTGAGGGTATAGAAAGAAGTGACTTATATGGAGACAAAGTCTCTCCCTAACAAAATGACTTTGTTAGTAAAATTCCTTTTGGGCAGTAAGATGTTGTCTTTGTGTGTTGTGGGCTAAATTACTGTTTCCTATGTGCTAAAGCTGAATGCTGAGTTAGTTGGTAATGAGTCACCGAAATAGTCTTCTGACCAGCCAAGAAAGACAGAGTAACACTAGCTTTCAGCTTAGATCACAGATCAAAAAGGAAACTCAGGTGTCTGGATGGAAGATTGAAGACAATTGCAAAAAGAATTAAGTTAAGCAGAAGCTGGGAACTAATAGGCCAGTAATGTGACTCTGCCTGTGCCAGGAGTCAGAAGAAAGGGTCTAAATAGGCTCTACTGCTTCCCTAGCCCAGTGCCTGTTAGTCAATCAAGTAGCTAATATTTATTAAGCACATACTATGTATCAGGAAGCTTTAGGAATATAAAGAAAAAACAAGAGTCCTTGACATCAAGAAGCTTACCTTGTAATGTGGGAGACAATATGTATGTATGTAGGTACATACAAGATTGTTGTTGTTTGTCCTTCATTTTTGAAGAGGACCAATGACATCACCAGATGATCTCTTGATCTCTGTAGGAATTGGATTTAAGTGAAGCCGTTGCACAAATGAATCAGCCTATCCTACTTTTTTCTTTAGATCTCTTCCTATCTGAAGACTGTACTCCAGGGAACTGGGGCAGATGTGTGCACATTACCTGGGCTTTGGGCATCTGTGAGAATCCCAAGAAACTGGAAAGGCTTATGTTGTAGGAATGAGGGTCATCCTTCCTCTGGGCTGCAGAAAGGACTGGGCCACCAAGAACACCACATTGCCTCTTCTCTTCTTTGGAGGGCTCTGCCCCTTCCTGGGAGCCCAGATGGACTCTGTTAATGGCACTTCAGTCTGCAGTCCCTCAAAGCCATCTTGGGTCTGCCTGCCGCTGCTGCCCAGAAGAAAGCAAGCCGTGATGTGTGATCACACAGAACCACGATCAAACCTGAGAAGCCCTTGTCTCCTTTGGGTTTTTCCGCACTCCTCCAGATGCCTAGCACACTCGTTATTCCCTACCCTCCCTTCTTCCCTTCCCCCCTCCCCCATCCAATGCTTGTTATTGTTCAAACCACAACAGCCCATTAGCATGAAGGGTTTGTGTCTATTTTTTTTCTCCTCAAGATTGTGAAGTATCCATTTGCTGAACCATATTTGCCTTTTTTTAAGCACAAAGGAGATACAAGGTATCCTTAGAGGGGAAGGTATTAGTAGCTATGGGGACCGAGAAAGTCCTATGACTCTTGAAGGAAGCTAGAGATTCTAAGAGGCAGAAAAGAGGAGGGCAGTGTTCCACGTACACGTTAGGTGGTTAATAGATGCTTGTTGATGGATTTATTGATTGAGATGGCAACCACCAAAGACACAGCATCATCCAACCCAGGGCAGAAAATCACAAACCTCAATCTTTTCCTGGGACTACCTTTTCTATCATAACAGCATCCCTAGCTTCTCAAAGTAATGTGGGGGTGCAATGCTTTATAGATAATAAGCAAGTCAAAGAACAAAACCTAAATAACTTGAGTCAGATTCTTATAAGAAGCAAGAAATACCAAAAACATAATGGAATCTCATTAGAAAAATATCAATATAATTTATCATTTTATACCAAGAAATATTTTAAAGGTCATATGCTCACATTAGAAGATGTAGAAAGGAGAGACCTTTGATAAAATTTAATTCAAGTCAATAAACATTTAGTAAGTACCTGCAAATGTGGAAGATACTATTTTAGATACTGAACATACAGAGACAAAAAAAAAGACAAATAGTTCTTGCCCTCCAGGATCTTACAGTCTAGTTGGGGGAGCAGGGGAGGATATAGCATGTAGTTAGATATGTAATAAGAATAATTTGAGGAAAGAGAGAACATTAATAACTAAGGATCAGGGAAGGCACTATAGAAGACAGCTGAGCTAATTCTTGAAGGGTAGCTAAGGGTTTTAAAGAAGGGGAAGATTTTTCCTCAAGTAGATAAAAGGATTGAGTGGAAAAACAAGGGTCAACACATAAAAGAAAACTACTTAAAGCATTTTTGCCAAACAAACAAACAGGTACACAACATGGAGCATACTATTTACACCCCCATCCTGTCCCCATAGGTTGACCCTGGATGAGGTTGGGGTGGAACCTGTCAAAGGCAGGTTTCCTGGTGCTGTTGGAAGCTTTCCCACTTTATGTGAGTAGGAAGAATGCTGCAGCAGAGAAGTTCTTACACTATTAGGGGCTTAGAAACTCCAGTGACAAGTCCAACCAAGGGCATTTGTCAAGATATAGGCTGTAAAGCTGACAGGTGGAAAGGAATGTCTGGAGTGGAAGCTGGGTCAAAATTAGGCTCAAAAAGTCAGAGGGAGCAAACAAGAAGTGAGGTCTGAGATCAGGCTGCAGGACTTTGCGAAGTTTGAAAACAGGAAGTTGAACATTTGGCAAAGAATTCTGCTGCATGTAATGCTGTCAGTGTTTGCTAGCTCCACCCACCAACTTTGTCTCAATTTAACCTGGCAAGATAGTACCTGCTACTGCTACCTTTGTCAGTAGCCATGGCAGTATTGAAATATGTGGTGTCCAATTTAACTGTATATATTATCAGAACTGTTAACAATCACCATAAAACAAGAAAAATATTGGTGAGATTAACATAGGAAATGAAGTCAAAATAATGTTTACTGAAGGCAAACTTGTATACTTAGAAGATTCAATGGTCCCAATAGTAACTGAAAATAGTTGTGACAATAAGTAGCTGTATCAAATTCTCAGACTCAAAAACATTAAGCAGTTATCAAAATGATCTTATATAGGGCAAAAACATAAAAATAGACCAATGGAACAGAATGGAGAAGTCAGTGTTCAATACAGCTATAGAAAATAGACACTGCAGAAAGGGTTAATTATTTAATAACTATAAAAAAAACCTACATAGCAGGATGGCAGAAAATAATTTTAATCTCACTGTATGATATATCAATTTCCACTTGAATAATAGATTCATGCTTTAAGGAATTGTGATTTTATCAGTGTGGAATATTCCCAACAACAGCATAGCTCAAAACTTTCCATGCCTCCACACTCTTCTTGGGTTGTTTTAACCACAATAATGTTAATTGGTGACCAACTTGTACAGTTCATCAGGAGGGTAGCACTCAGAGCCTGTCTAGCTGGATAGATTTGTCAGAGCTTGTGTTCTCTCATAGCCTTAAAGAACCCAGAGCCCTCTCCACTCCATGATAAGGCATCAAAGTGAGATGTTATTGATGGGACCATAAGTTAAGCAAAATAAAGAACCTGTAAGAAATAGAATAAAATGGGGTAATTTATTTAAGCATTACTTAGGAGATAAGTTGTTCTCTATTGAACATATAAGAAGGACCATTAGATGGATTCAATTATATAAACAAAAAAAACCCTTCTACAACCAAAATAATGTAACTGAAATAAAAAGAAAAATTACAGATTGAGAAAAAAATTTGTGGCAAATGGAACAAAACTTCCAAAATTTTGCAAGAAACAGTTACAAATATTCAAGGGAAATACCAACTTCCTAATGGAAAAATGGTCAAATGACTCACAACTTATAAATAATAACTTTTAAAACTCCACTTTTCTAATGACCAAAGAAACAAAAAACACTTCTGAGGTATTACTTCAGGACTACCAAATTAACACAGCAACCAAAAGCCTAATGACTAAACAATACTGGTGGAGCTATTGATAAATACATACATATACTGTTATTGAAATTACCAATTGGTGAAATCTTTTTTGGAGAGCAATTTGATATTTGGAGAGCAATCTCTCCCTCCATTAGATTTTTCTCCCCATTAGATTGTGAGCTCCTTAAATTCAGGGACTATCTTTTGCATCTTTGTATATCCCTAGCTCAGTACCTTGCACAAAGGTGCACATCGGTGATTAATAAATGTTTATTGACTGACTAGTAATGCACTATGCATTTCATAAAAATAACTGTACCCTTTGGCCAGTCTTATTACTGTTGCTGTACCCTAATAGCATTATTTTAAAAACCCTTCTCCTTTCAAAGACATTTATAATAGCATCATTTATAATTGTGAAAAACTGGGAACAAGCTACTTTTAATTTTATTCAACAAACATGTATTAATCATCTACTTTGTGTTAAGTGCTGGGAATGCAAAGACAAAAATCATACCTTCCCTGCCCAAAAGGTCTTCCTTCCTTTATTGTTTCCTTCCTTCCTAAACTCAGTCTTCCTTGGCTAGAAGCATGTTAGCCAGTGGCTGATCCCATTGCTGACAGGAACTTAAGCTTTGATGTCCACCATTTCTGACCTCTGCTAGTTCCCCTTGCTTAAGAAGCCTGGTGGTTTCCAGCCCCTAGAAGCTCACCATATCAATGTCAAATTTACTGTAAATACCCAGCTGGCCTTTCACCTGTCTGTACCTTATAACTCCCAAGTACAAGTCATCCACTAGTCTTTACCTCCCCAGGAGCCAGGGATTTTGCAACATGTATACAGATAAGGGAATACAAAGAAATTTCAAGAGACAGAGCTACTTCAAAAGGGAATCTCACCATTGGTGGGATTAGGAAACGGCTGTAAGAAAATGGCACCTGAATTGTGCTTTAAAGAAAGCTAGCAATTCTAAGAGGTGGTATAGGAGGGAGTGCATTCCAGACATGGGAGAAGGCCTGAAATGCTGAATTCAAGGGAACAATTAACAGACATAGGTATGCACAGAACATAAGCCAATTTGTATATCTGTACCTTAACTGTCTGCCTGTACATAATTTTACCTTTATAAATCCTCATACCTTGACTTACAGCATCGGCTCCTTAGGAAAAGTGGTAGTTTGGTTCAACCTATTTGTATGCCTAGTTCTTATTAATTAAAGGGGGTAACTGACCTGAGAGGGTGTTGCCATCAAAGGCTTGCTACAAGGAGGTGTCCAAAAAGAGAGGACTAAGGACCAAATTCTTGAGTTGTGGGAGCCTGACACATCATCATATCCTAACATCAGGACCATTTATGAGAGAACAGCAGAATATTCCAAACTTGATTATTTACAATTACTCATTAGTGATAATTTAGGTGCCCGGGTTCTCACATTAATTCTTCCAAATCAAAAGTGAATTGAAGTCAGCGTACCTTACTAAACACCTAACTTGTGACCAAGTAATAATTAACTTACACACTAGAAGGGGGATGGGAATGTCTCTGTACTACCAAAACAATTAATCCCGAGGAGCTTAATTGTATGTGTGATTGTGTTTTTTTAAAATATGATATATTTTAAATGAAATGTTGTCTTAGAGTATAGCTATTTTCTGTCAAGTAAAAGTTATTGTGTGTAATATGTGTGTATATCTACCTACCTACCTACCTATCTATCTATCTATCTTTAGTAAATGATGAACCTGCAAAGTGTCATCAGGGAACATTATGAATGGTGTTTGAATTTATAGGCTGACTTGCCATAGAAAT